GTCAGCTTGCTGGATAAGAACGCCGGGCAAAAGGGCGCTAGACTGTTTGTTGGCTTAAATCGAGAAGTCACTTGGATGTGCCTTTTGAGGGGACCCTAACAAAAAGAGTCCATCGAAATCCCGCCGTGGAGGAACATCCAAAAAAAAGGCCGCCACTTGGGTGGCTCGGTTTTTTGACGAGAACCTCCTTTCTGGTGGGGCTCTGAACAATAGGACGCCCCCAATTATATTTTGCAGGGGAACATCAAATTGCCGGCCATTCCGCAAGCCGCAGATCGGTCGCACGGAAATGAACATCGCGACCTGAAAACCAATGGCATGGCATTCTCATCCAAACCGACCTTCGGATTGCAGTGGGATTCCACCATCCCACCAAAATGCTACAAAATATGGGACTCACCCCTGAGGATCCATTGCGGCTGGATTCGAGGGGAGCCTCTCTCGGTTCAATCCTAAAGTCGCTCACATCATCCTCATCATCATCATCCTCATCCTCATCCTCATCCTCATCTTCATCCCCCTCCTCCTCCTCATCATCATCATCGTCATCGTCATCGTCATCGTCATCGTCATCGTCATCGTCATCGTCATCGTCATCATCATCATCATCATCATCATCATCATCATCATCATCATCATCATCATCATCATCATCATCATCATCATAGCGGCGAACATTATGGATACATGTATGAATACATATATATATATATATATATATATACATATATAAAGGTAACCCAGCTGAGTTTGCCCGTCCCGGATTCCCACTGAAAGGGGACACCGGGAACCCAATCAAAATCCACCAGCAGATCCGGGGCTCTCCATGTTCCCCTTGCCAATAGCCTTAGGCCAAGGGCGAGGCCTTCTTGCCATTTTCGTGGCACCCCCATTCATGGGGGTCTGACCCATGTAGAGCCCAGGTACCTTCCATGGCCCACGAAACGACCACGACGCGGTCGATTCGCTCCGCCACCGACAGGAGCGCCAGGAGCACAAAGTGCAGCGCTGGCAGCTTCCTCTGCACAGCCTCAGAACCAAGGCCTGCTGATGTTCATACCCCTCTCCCCAAAAGGGGTATATACCCCTTATAAAGTGAGTTGGAAACCAGGGAAGCCAAGGGGTATGAACAAGGGGTATGTACTTCCGGTGTGTCCTACTTGATTCTTTTTTTTAGGGAACCCCCCAAAGCCGTATTCTTTTACGGGGACAGGCCTGTCCCCTTTGTAAGGAGATTTGGTTCTCCTTTGGGGATTGCACCATAGGGCTCAAACAAAACCACGCGCCCACGGTATGGGGCTGTGCTTCTTTTTTTTGCAGGCGAAGGGTACCCCCCCCTGTTTTGGGACGGATTTGCTCCGAACCAACAGAAAAACCACCGATCTGGGGGTCCAGATCCTCAACACGAGACGCGGCCATATGGGTTGATCAAAAGGTCCTTCACGTGGGGTGACCATTACGGAAACTTTCAAAAGGACCCGGTGAACCAACCAGAAAGCAACATTTGTTTGTTGGGTCCAAATCCTCAAAAAAAAACAGTGAGCCACCCATGTGAGTCTTCATCAAACCCCGGCATTAAACTGGTCGTAATCCCAGAACCATGCTTCAAGAATTAAGAAGGCGTATCTCCGCACCTATTTCTGGCAAGGGGGTTGTCCCTTCCTTGGATGTTACTACAGGTGTGCAAGTGCCCAGCCTTAAAAATATGACCTGCTCATGAGTGAGTTGGGCCGTTGGGCCGGTAAGTGGGAGTTAAAACCATGAATAGAAAACCACTTCCTAACGCAAACGAACACTCAAGTACCCTCCAACTACCCCGAGGCTCAGGCGCCCAAGCGCTCCCCACGGGCTTGGCGCAGGCTTTTCACCTGGAGAGAGATGGGGCTGAAAGCGGTTGGGAAAGCTGGAGTCAAAACGGGGACTCGGCTTCCTCTTGGAGTGAACCTCTTGATTATTTGTGGCTTGTCCGGGTTTCCCTTGCGCTTCTTGGTGTCCTCTTGGTTTCCTCTTGGTTCCCTTTTGGTGTTCTTCTGGTTGCCTGCGGGTTCCTGGGCCCAGCATCGGCTTCCGTTCCTGGCTCCCCTTTGTACCCGCCGAAGAAAAAAAACGAGGAGACCCACCCGAGCCTTGCAACCGCCCGAACAACCCGCTGACATGGATACGCGACGCGTCTCTCTCATGAAAGACCCCAGAAACGACGCTTCGAGAAAGAGACACACCGTATTTCTTGGCCGGAAAAATCGGACCCCGGCAAAAAAAAGGATTTTTGCCTGCTTAGTGGACAACAATGGGAACCCCAAAAAGGCAAAAAAACAAAAAGGGAAGCTAATTCTGGTGCTTTTTCTGAGCTGTTTCTTGAAAAGTGGGAACTTGCTTTATTGAGCTGAAAGGTAGATCCCTCAACTTTCCCCATTGGACCAAATCTTTGAAACCAGGCAGGCCCTCTTAGTCTGTGTTCCTGGGACACCCGAGGTCGTTTGGACCGAGACATTGGACGAAAGCTGGTAGCTTGTGGCACTGGGACGGTCCGAACCACCAAAAGGAGGAAACAATACAACATGTCGTAGAAATAAGTTAGCCAGAGATGCACAAAAACCCTGACCAAAGCTGAGAAGAAAAGAAAACGAAGCACCAACCAGACGCCTTTTAAGCGAACCAAACCACGGAAAGATGTGCAAAACGCACGCCCAAAAAACAGAAACGGAAGCTCGCACGCGGAATCGTGGTGTCCAACCGGCGATGCAAGAAAGAAGCATACAAAGCCCCGAATCAGCTCTTCCAGTTTCTTTAAGGATGTCCTTCAAGATGTTCAGAAGTGAAGCAATGGTGTCTCCCCACCAACTCACTTGGGTCTTTGATTAGGGAACCCCACAACATGGATTTCGGTGTCCCTGTTGGTTTCCCTTCAAAAACCGTCCCAAAAAGAGAAAGGTACCCGTCGCCTCGAAAAAGCACTGAACCACGCCCACTTAAGTCTTGCTGTCCTTGAAAGGAGCTATGGCAATTGCAACCAATTTACTTTAACAGGGGTGTTCGAAAAACTTTGTCACTTTCCGATGGAAGCAAACTTTTTGCAGCCCCCACCAAAAATGATCAGATCCAAACAACCTAAAAACCAAAAAGCATGCCAACAGTCCAGGTCAGAGTAGATAGTGATAGAGACTTGGGAGAAAAGCAAAGAGGCCCCGGCAGGCGTTTCTCCATTCCAGCCTTTAGGAACCAATGGAACTTGAGCCCCCTACCGCGATTTGGTCCTACCGCTCAAACCTCGCGAACCACGGGCTTTAAAGTAAATCCAACATAAATCCAAGCTGCGAAAACGCTTCTTGCCACACGCTTTCCCCAAACCTCCCACTTTCATCACAGCTGCCGGCCAATCTTAATTTTTCTTTTACAAAAAAAAAGAGAAGACAAAAAGAGAAGGGAAAAAAAAGAGAAGACCAAAAGAGAAGGAAAAAAAAGAAACAAATCTAGGGGGAAAAGAAGAGAGAAACCAAAACGCCGCTGGACCGCGATCCAGGCCCAACACCCTCCGGTTTAGGAAGAAAAAAAAACGCCTCGCGCTCGGGGGGCGTGGCACCCAGCTCTGGGGTCTCTCAAAAAACGGCCGACCCCCGAAATGGATGGGATTCCTTAGGTTTTAGAAACCCCCAACAAGTTTGGGATCCAAAGAGGGGTGTAGCCGGTATGGCGCCCTGCCCTAAGCACACAACCACTTTTCGAGTTCACTCAAGATGGAGAAAAAAAAGGCCGTCGCAGTGGGCGGCTCCAGTTTGCAACCAACTGCTCCGCTGGAGCCCTCCCGTTCTTTCGCCCGGGTGTCTCCGGGTGTCCGGGCCGTGTCGTAGACCGGGGAGGGGACCCCCACGGAGGTGGAGTACAGCACCAGCTCCAGGGGATCCGTCCAGCCTGCAGCCAGCCCATGGCATCGGGCCCCAGCTTGGTGTGCCGAACTCGGAAGATCCGGGGGAGTTTCTCATGATGTCCATTGGTAAAGAGCAAAGCACCGGTCAGAAACCCAAGTTGACTTGATTTCCCAACCTCGAAGGAACATTGGTTCCAACCCGGGGATTTTCTCATGATTTCCCCTGGTAAATACCAAGAAGCTGTGATTTCAACCATGGGCTCTGAACGGTGGTGCGAAATGGATTTCGCTAACAGGCAGGGGCTCTGAGAGTTGGACGTTGGACCCACTGAACCACCCAACTGTCATCGCCCAGTCGCGCTCGCTCGATTTTTCCAGACCGAAAAAACACTGGTTCAACATGCGGGTAAGGAATAGCAGGGAAAACAAAGGACATCCTTTTTCTTCGTGGGGTTTTGACGACCTTTAGCTATTCCATGGGCTGAACGCAGGTTTTTTTTTGGGAAATGAAACGTCCAAAAACGATCGCCGGTCACAGCTGCTGGTTGAAAAGCCATCGCAACTGGCCATCCAGGTGGTGTCCTTCGCTTCGGCATTGGCATATCCTTCCAGCTCATTCCCAAGGGGGCCAGTTGCGCTCCCCTGGTTTGTGGTAAGGTAAATATCCAGGTCCTGCTCTTGTGCAAGCATCCGAGATGCCCGCACGGTCTCTCTCAAGATTTCCCAAAAAAAAGCCAAAGACGGGGACCTTTCAAATTGTTTTTTGTTTCCCGATGTTCCTTTAAAATCACGAAAAAGGGGTACCCTCAAACAACCAAAAAAAACGCCCTAGGTCGAAATCGAAATTCGCAACTCCCCTGCTTTTCGGCTCTCGTGAGGAAACCAATCAAATCGACGTGGAATCGCCAGATCCAGATGGCCGTCTCTTGCAACATGGCATGTAATTTGATTTTGTTTCACTTCATCAGGCTGTGCTTCTTTTCCGAAACCTCTTTCAATTGGGACCTTTGGGATTGAAAATGTTCACATATCCCAAACAAATGGATAGCAACAAAAAAAAATGAACACATGTCCCAAACAAACCGAAGGCCCGTGGACCGCCCCGAGTCTCGTCTCCCCATTGTCGATCGAGCCTTCAACGGTGCGCGCTTGTCCTCGCGCAGAAACGGATCGACGCGCGGCATATCTCGGTTGTTTTCTGCTCCCCTGCTAAAAGTTTAACTTTTAGTGGTTTAGTGGAAAACCCATCAGTTGGCAAAACGTTAAAGTCCCAACAGCCAAGCAAAATGCACCAAAGATATTGTGTCGTGCAAACAGGCTTTCCTTGGTGCGAAATTGGCAGGGAATGAGAACTGGGGGTTGAACCGTTTGGGGGTTCCCGACAGGAAACCCGAACTCGGAACCGGACGGGTTTCTTCGTCATTCCACTTCTCATCTCCCTGCATCTCTCGCACCGATCGCAGAGGGTGCGATGGATGGGAATTTGGGATGGAAGTCGAGTCAAAATGCCATGCCTAGATAGCCAAGTTGCCGTTTTTTTCAGTCGCTGTTGCTGGTTTTTGGGGTAAAGTGCATGGAAAAAAAGCAATCGCGACTGGCGATCCAGGTGACAACTTTTAACACGCAAAAGCAGCTCGGGGTGTGGTATGGGGACCGGGTCCTGGGTTCTGCATACCAAGCCCCAGCTCCCGTAGGGTAGAAAAAATCAGATTGCGAGTGGGGAAGATGGGTTGTGAGGAAGGTTTGTCAGGAGGTCTGCACAACTGGCTTGATCTGACGCTGCCTCGTCTGCACTTGCAACAGGCCCTCTTGCCAGTACTAATTGCTTGTGCCTCATCTTCCAGATGCCTAGCTTGTCAAGCATGCTTTTCCAGCTTGTGAGACAGTGAACTCCAAAAAAGAATCCGCCAGAGGTAACTGAGTCTGGGTTTGAGTCCTCGATTCCAAGCTTGGATGTTCAATCGACTTAGTAACCATGGCGTTTTGGGGTTCGTCGCCTCGTACCCATGGTTGCCACCTAAGGGGTCAGTGGATTTTCCCCTTCGAACATTGATCAATTTGCGGGCAATCTTGCCAAAAAGGGGAATACAGGTCTAGATAGCCAAGTCGTTGCTTCTTTTTTCAGTCCCTGTTGCGATCGGTTTTGGGGCTAACGTGCATGAAACAAAAAAATGCCACTGGCGATCCAGGCCGACCATTCCCACCGCCCGCAAAAACCGCGCGTCCTGCGAGGAGCTTCGCGGGATTCACGTCCAGCCGCCGCAGGTCCTCCCGCACGTAGCGCTGCAGGCCTCGATGCGGCCGACCGCAGCTTCTGATTCTCTAGGGGTTGATTCCTATTCTCTTCAGCCATGGCTCTTTTCACAAACCAGCCCATTTCCCCAGGTTTTTTGGTGGTTTTCCAGAAAGAAGGATCCCTGGAAAGAATTGGGAAGTTGCTTTAAGAGATTCGAGGTCAGGTGGCTGTGGTTCGTCACAACTCGAAGTGGTAATCCCACAATGGGTTGCCGGTAAAGGGAAACATGGACCAGACTCTTCAAAGCACCACTCTGGTGCTACTGAGGCCTTATTCGCAAAACGGTGCCTCCTTTTTGCCGCATAAGGGTTAGTGCCAAAATGGGAGGATTGCCCAGCTCCACTGGGCAGCTCCCCTCAGCAGCTGATGGGAGTAGGATTGATGCCACTCCCACAGCGAGGGAGGAATCCTCCCACCTCACCGGATGCCCTCCCGGCATCATGGGTGAGGAAGGAAAGTAGCGAAGATCAGCTTGATCAATTCGCTTTCGACTGAGGGGAAGACCCGGTTCTCAGTCGGAAATTGCGGGTCCGGATGAGTAAGTTCATCCGCCCACGTGTTAAAGTCGCGCTTCACATGCGACGGCCCCAACATGACCTGCTGGTCATGCAGCGTTAGCACAATTTCCATGAGGATGGCCGCATTGGGCATCCTGCGAGTGGAATCGTTAAGAAGGGAGAAAACATTTCCCTGGTTATCACTAGCAACCAGGATCCTAGTGTGAGAAGCCGAGCCGGCTGCACAAAGCAGAACGGCCCTCACCAAAAGGAGGAGGCCGAAGAGCTCCAAGGCCGCTATCGCCCGCTGCGGGTCCCCAGTAGTGAAGGCCCACGGCTCGCTCTCCGGTGTGATTCTGTGCTGGAACCACTTCACACGGGACTTGTCGGGGTTGGGCACGTCCGAGCACCAACCACCAACCCATGCATGGTCTGCCTGTCTGCCAGCTCCCGCATCAGATGCCCCCGTCCATGGGAGTGTGGGAGCAAACGGAGATGCCAGTGGGAACCTCTGGTTGAAGAGTCTCCCCAAAAGGATGGCCAGAGCACGAACCAGCTTCGGTGGCCTGCCCGAAGTGGTGCAGGCCTTCTTCCAGCTCCAAAAGGGCTGGAGGAAAGGTTTCGTCAATGGGCACGCCGAAGTAGCCCATTGAATACGGCCTAGGGCTTGTTCCACCTCCTTGCTGGTGAAGATGTCCCCCTGGGCCAACCGTTTAAGAGTGGCCAGGATTATGACGTGTTTGACTGGAGCCAGCAGTACACAGGGCGTGATTGGGTCCACCACAAAGCCCAACCAGGTATTGATCGGGGAGAGCGCCGTCTTTTTCCAGGAAAGCGGGACTCCCAGCGCCAGCAGTGTAGCCAGGATGGCTGTGGCGTCCCAGTCCGCCCGGCTGCATCTGAGGACCCAGCAGTAGTCGTCCACAAAGACTAAGTGCCAGTCCACCTGAGGGAAGATGTAGTACAAGAGTCTGAGCACCAAGGATGCCTTTCTTCCCCAGTACAGTTGTGCCGAGGCCATGCCGTACGTGCCCACTCTGTTGACCCACCACCGGTTTTGGATGCAGGCCACCTGGTATTTCCAGTCTTTCGGGAGCACTTTTATACGCCTGTGGGCCTTGGTGACATCCGCCTTGAGGATGATGAAGGTTTCCCCCTGTGTCGGCGGCTGCCACATCAGGGGTTCCCCCCTGATCCCCCCAGGGCGTTCCGTGCCCGGGGGGGTTGGGGGGAAGGGGGCCCTCCTATCAGGGCCCTCGGCACCTGGGAGTGGTCCCTTCCCTGAGGGTGTCGACCCCGGAGAGACGTCCAGGCCGCCGGAGGTATCCATCATCCCCCTGCCCCGATCAGGCCCCTCGGCCCTGGGGGGCAGGCTGGTGCTGTGGGGGTCCCTCTCAGGGCCCTCGGCACCTGGGGACTGCCCCTGCACCGGCTGGTGAACATCCCGAGGTCTCTCCTCAGTGCTCGAGAGCGTGGCTCGAAGTAGATGGGGATGGTCCGTCGCTGTCCTGAGCCAGTGGATGGCGTGGAGGCAGTCTCCAACCATCGGTGCAGTGGTCTTCTCCCCCGTATGAGCCTGGATGTGTGCGTTTGCTCCCCCTTTCGAGCCATCGTAGATCGTCCTGATCTTGTCTGACTCATCAATCCCCGCAAGGGGGCCCGGGCAAAGTTCCTCCGGTTTGCAGCGGCACCTCTCTGCCGCCTCCGACCGAGTGAAGGGCCCGTCCACCATGTCCAAGGCTCGTTCCTCGTAAAAGGTTGCCTCGATTTCACTGGCAAAGAGTTCAGCCGTTGGGTAGTTATCATGGGCCACCGGCGGGGGGGGGTCTTCCCCCAGCCAGGCTTCTCCCTTAAGCTCCTCCTTAGTCGGCCAAACTCCGGGGAGGTCAAGGTAGGGTCCGAGACTCCCAAGGGGACCCCCTCTTTCAGTGTCAGGGGGAACTCCCAATCAGGGTCACCTGAAAGGGATGCAAGTGCGAAACTAGGTCCAGGAGGAAGGGTTGACCTGGGCATCGTTCATGGAGGTGCCTAGGTCCCAGGATAGCCCGCAGCTCATCGAGGTCGGCTTCCTGGAAGGGGTGTGTGGTGGCACCTGATGCCAGGGACATCCGGACCTTGTCAATCCAGGGCCGGGTAAGGGTCATGATCAGGGCGCGCAAAGTAGCCAAAGGGGAAATTCTCCGAAAGGGGGGTTTCCCCCCCCCATCCCTCAGGGGGCGTGAGCGGAAACCCAATTGGACAATCGCAACTCGGTCAATGAGGCGTGGGACCCTGAAAGCGGGCAGGCATTCGGGGCGGTCCAGGACCTGGTCCCCATGTTCTTCCTTCCCCAGTTGTTCCGCATCTCCGGCCATCGGGGGTATGGGAGATGGGAAGTCTGGGTTCATTGTTCCACGAGGGCTTACGGTGTCTGCCTCAAGGTGGATGTGCCCGTGCTGGCGGGGCTTCGGGGCATTCTTGCCTCCGGGCTTTGGGCCCTGGTGTGATGAGGCCTCCCTGATTGGGTCCCCGTTTTCCCCGGGGGGAAGGGCCCTCCGGGGGGTCCGACCCCCGCCCCTTAGGTGGTTCCTTAGGGTTTCCCGGGAATTGTGAGGGGATCCGGATGTGCCCCGGCGCTGCGAGTGACACAGCGATGGCTTTGGCCAGGCCTGCCATCATATCCCAAGGGTATCTGCTAAGAGTCGAGGACTCGTTGGTGCCCACATGTGACTGATGCGTGCACCGCATTTGATCCCAATCCTGAATTGGGAGATCCGTGGCTAGCGTAGTGGCCTTCTTGACCAGCTGGCCCAGGCGGCACTGGTCGAAGGAGATTGCTGTCAAGGAGTTTTCCTCCATCCAAAGCTGCCCCTCCTCCGTGATCCAGAAGGATGAGCATTCCTTGGCTTTGGGCAGCGAGCTGCTCACCACTGGGTCCTCCGGGTGCTCCAAGAAGGACTTTGGCCCTGGCAGAGAAACCGCCGCTCTTGAGGCCCTTGCCAGGCTGGTGATGTACATCTGCCTCAAAATGAGGATACTGTCATCATCAAGCTGAGTCTGGGCGGCCTGGTCCAGGTGTGGGAGGCCCCAAAGTGTCTCTCGAGTGCGCCCTCGCACCGGGGTGGGGGCCCCCGGTTTTGGTATGTGGCGCAGGATGGACCATGTCCTGCAGTTGGGTCCTCCTCCAATGAAGACCACTCGGCCCTGCTTTGCTGCCGTGCAGAGAGCTCCATACAGCTCGGGTTGGAGCATGTCGTGGTTCCCTTTTGGTCCCGATCGTAGGATGTCTACCGCCACCACCATGCTGGAAAGGTGTGGGTAGTTGGCATGAAGACAGCTGTCCAAGGAAGTTGGGTCTTCCTTGCCTGCATAGAGCAGGACAATAATGGGCCCACTGGATGGAACTTTGGGCGATGTGCCCTGTGTCCATCTCAGCCGCTGTACCAAACGCTCCGGGATGTTCTCCATCCACGGGAAGATGTCCCATCCCGGTGACGGCTCCGTGGGACTTGTCAGGGGGGTAGCTGAAAGGCGCTGGCCCCCTTCATTCAGCCCAACCGAGCTCTTATAAAAAACCACCGGGTCCTGCTTGATGATGTTGGGCGCCGGAAGTGGGATCGGCTGCCTCCTGGGCGTGTTCCTTGGCGTTGCGGTGTGCTGCCAGTTATCCGGCAATCGGGCCTGCTGGGCGCGGCCCCCCGTGTCAGGGCCCTTGGCACCTGCAGGGAACCGTCCCGTCCCTGCCGTTTCAGGGCCCTCGGCACCCGTGGCTCGGGGCTGAGGCGCCGCCGTTGTGCCAGCTGTGTGGTTGTTCTGACCCCAGCGAGGGTGTTGTGCACGCTGGTTCTGCCGTCCCCATCCTTGTTCCGCCGACCCGTTGCCAGGATGAGGTTGCACTTGTGGGTGCGTCCGCAGTTGCCCGGGCAGCGCCCGCGCATCCAGTTGTTACAGAACTGGTTCCCTTTCGGATCGGTGGCCGCCTGCTTGTTACCGCCCCTGGACGCCTGATTGTTCGGCTGGGGGGGCTTACCTTTCCCTTTGCTCCCAGGCTTGCCCCTAGACTTCCCCTTGCCCTTGGACTTGTTCTTGCCCTTCTGGGGTGGTGCGTAGTCCATGGATGTCCTGGTTTGTGGGCGGCCCCTGGAAAAGGTCCTGATCTTCTCATAGACCTCACGTGTCCAAAACAATGTGTCCTGCCTGACCGACAGCATGGCCGCCTTGAGGGTGCTGCCCTCGTGCATTTGCTCGTGAATCTTCCGCCATGCGTTGCGTTCGGCAATTGCCAGGACGTGGTCCTCTGGCGGGGGAAAACGGCCCCCGATGTCCTCCCCATAGAACCACTCGTACCAGCTCTCCAGGTCCTCCCGGGTGATGTCGAACTGGCCGAACTGCGGAAACGAGAGGACGCACATAAGGAGGGTGTTGCGGAACACCGCGTGCATTTTTCTCGAGTTGGTGGCGAGTTTTCGGCTCGCCCCGCTCTTCCACCTCGTCCTCCCGGTCCCAGCCATCAACCGTG